CGTCACCTTGTAATGCCTGCTTCAATTTTTCCTTGGCCTCATCAACCCCCCCATAATGCCCAAAATCCTGCTTTTCAACTTTTCCTTCATCAATTATAGCAGAGCTTTTCTCTGAAGCTTTAATGGCAGAAAACCCAAATCCTACCGTGTGTTGCAGGCCCCCTGATCCTGAAACGAGCTGCTAAGATTGGTTTGCACCCTCTGCCCCCAATTTTACCCAAAATGACATGACGAGCTCTAATTGGTTGAACTAGAAACTCAGACGCCATTAATAAATAACAGAGAGAGCTCTGAAGAAATCTCAAAATCCCAATAAAATGAAAAAGAAAAACAATGACAGATGAGTTTTGCACGATTGGTTGTGAGCTCCTATCGTTTGCACGTATACGAAATGGGCATTAAATGGACGGCTCAGATGAAAGCGGGAGATGTGAGACCAGAATCCGGCCGTCAGACGTGTATGAGTATGTTGAGATGGTGAGGAGGTGATTTTGAGAGCAAAATGTTGAGGAGAGAAATGAAAGTGGGTTGGCTTACTCTGTGTTGTCTCAAAATTTTTTGAGCTCTTAGAAATGTACATAAAGAGAGAAAGAGAGTTTTTATACCAAATTTTTTTTTTTGAGTGTGGTTCCACCTAACCTGAATACAAAATTTTTGAGAAGGGGGGAGACAGAGATGCTACCCGGTTTTTATGCGATCATGCCCGTGATAGGTTTAGAGAAGATTGGGAGCTCAAGAACAGTCTAGAGAGAGAAACTATCTTGATCAATTTTTATTAACGAAGAATGAAGCCCTAAAAGAGTTTATATACAAATACGTATTTAGTATTGACCATATTATCCCTACACAAATATATAATGATAATAAAAGACAACTGAAAATTATACATTTTATTTTGTATACACATTATTACCTCTCTTCAAGCTGATGCGGACATGAGGAAAGCATTAGCTTGTTCACTAGAAAATCATGGCGGCTCCAAGTCACAGATTTGGTGAAAATATCAGTCGTTTGTACAGTAGAAAAAACATAAAGGAGAGATAATGTACCATTAAGATAGCGATCATGAACATAATGACAATCTACGTTAATATGCTTTGTTCACTCATAAAAACTGGATTAGATGCAATCTTAATTACACTTTGGTTATCTGCATATAAATGTATGGGATTTGAAATAGATATACCAAACTCATTGAGAAGAGCACGAACCCAAACAATCTCGCTTGCAACAGAGGGCATAGTACGATACTTAGCTTCAGTGCTTGACTTGGAAACAGTGCCATGTTTTTTGTTCTTCTATGATAATAATGATGACCCAAAAAACACACAATACCTTGTAGTAGAATGACAATTGTCTAGATCACCTGCTCAATATGCATCTGCATATGCACTGAGATCTAAAGAGGATGTGGAGTCAAAGAATAATCCATGAATGAAAATACCTCGAACCTAGTCTAAAATTCGATGAACTATTGATAGATGTGGTCGTCAAGGATCTGAAACAAATTGGCTCACAACATGGACAACATATGCAATATCTGAGCGAGTCATAGTAAGATAGATGAGGGAGCCGACGAGCTCCATAGGTGTATCAACAACCTTCGCATCATTCAAGCGGGCACTGGAAATAAGATCAAGTTCATATTTTTGTTGATGGATGTAAATACCACGTTTAGAGCGAGAGATCTCAAGGCCAAGAAAATAAGATTCTTTCCCAAGATTCTTTATTTGAACTTCTTCTTGTAATCGTAGCTTCACATCCTTGATGGAAGTGAAATCATTGTCACAGATAAAAATATCATCAACATATAATAAAAGAATGCAAATTTCATGCTTTGTGGTACAAATAAACATAGAGTGATCATGTTTACTTTGAGTGAAGCCAGTTGCAAGAATGACAACCCGAAAATGCTCAAACCATACACGGGGAGCTTGTTTGAGACCGTAAATTGCTTTATGAAATCGACAAACCAATGACTTATCTTGATAAACAAACCCAGGTAATTGACGCATGTAAACTTTTCTTGAAGTTTGTTATTAAAGAATGCATTTTTGCCATCCATCTGTCATATGAGCCACTCACGAATAGATGCGAGTGCAATAAAAGTACGAATAATTGTTATCTTAGCAACTGGAGCAAAAGTTTCTTCATAATCGATGCCATGCTCCTGGGCATAACCCTGAGCAACTAATCGAGCCTTGTACCAATCAAGAGTGCCATTAGCTCGTAACTTGACTTTATAAACCCATTTACTACCAATGACATGCTTTTCTGGGGGCAATGGAACCAAATCCCAATTGTGATTTGCCTTTCAGATCTCCTTGCTGAAGAAACTCGCTTAAGCTCTCTTGGGGTTTGCAAATCCACATCACAAGATGTTGCTGATGTGGCCTTAGCCACGTCTAATTTCCCTAACAAAGATACTAATTGTGTCCAAGTACAATATTACATATGCAAACAAAGAGACCACATGGCAGATCGATGCAAGAAACACATTTTTTGCAATTATTGTAAGAAGTTCGGGCATGTAATAAATGATTGTCGAAAACGCCCTAAGGCATGTGGGAAGCCTCCTGTAATCATCTAATGGTGGAGTGGGAGTACGATGAAGGATTGATGCTCTCATGCTTTCAAACTTCGATCGCAACCCCATAAGAAAGTAAAATAAACGAGACCGATTTCGTGCTTTAGTAACAGCTTCAGTGGGTGACTCTGTCTCCATCGAATCCATCTCATTCCATACACCTGAAAAAGTATTACCTGAAAAAGTATTAAAATAATCTTGAATTGATGAGTTCCCTTGTTGTGTCTTCATGCTCTCCTATTCAATGATATACAGAAGGGCAGTATTAGCTTGAGAATAAATCTTCTGTAAATAATCCCACATTGCTTTGGCACTAGATTGATACATGAGGTTGCGCCCAATTTTGTACTCAACTGAGTTCATAATCCATGTCACAATCGAACTATCTATGACAAACCGATCACTACGTTCATTTTCATCCTTAGGCTGGGGAACAGAGCCATCAATATCGCCCCATAACTTCCATCCCATGAGAAAACATCTCATTTGGAAAGACCGCAAGCAGCAATTATTCCCATCAAGACGTACAGAAATAGTAGCACTCTCAGTATTATTCATTGATTTCATGATAATAAAAGGTATGACTTACACTAAGTAGACGGGGATGCAAGAGTATAGAAGAACTCAAAAACAAAGCTACTAGAGCACCAAAACAACTCCAACTCGATGGCGTAAATATCGGCCAAGATTTTGTTTTGGAATAAGTTTCTCCGAGCTTTGAATAGTGGATCGAAAGCAATATTTTTAGTGAGCCGACAACTCTCCAAAAGTAGACGATGTATATCGAAAGAGAAATTTGAGGCCAAAAAGTGAGAGAACAATCTCGCACTCTCTCTCTATGAGACCATCAAGTATGAACAATGAACAATTAATATTTGCTGCGAAAGGAACATATCACAGATGGTGAAGCGTTGTAGAGAGAGAGAGAGAGAGAGAGAGAGAGAGCTTGCACGAGTTTAAAACCTTTGGGAGATGAGATTGACTTTATGCAAAGGGTTTTATGCAATGAAGTCATTGGCTTTCACTCATATTTTCGTTGCTGCGAAAGGTTTTATGCACCTACTATGCAACAAAGGGTTTCGAAGTGTTGAGAACATGAAAGAATTGCAAATATGCGGATGCACCGAAATAGTTGCAAATTTGCAACGAAAAATTTGCATATGAAAAATTTGAGAGATCAATGATTGCTCCAATCATGGATGATTAGGCAAAGTAAATGGAAATTGAAACGGATTACTGACCTTCACAAGAAAAACAATCTGTGAGCAGCAACAGAGAAGAGATGATCGAATCTTTGGCGCTCTGATACCATGTTAGATTTAGAGAAGATGCAGAGCTCAAGAATAGCCTAGAGAGAGAAATTATCTTGATCAATTATCATTAATAAAGAATGAAACGCTAAAGGGGTTTATATACAAATACATATTTAGTGTAGATCATATTGTCCCTACACAAATATACAATGACAATAAAAGACAACTGAAAATTATACATTTTATTTTTGTATACACATTATTAGCCCGCACCTATTATGTTGCGGTCTTCAAATCCAAGATGTTCATATAAATATGAATTGATGATTTTCAAATTTCAAGATGGGTAACCGGATAATCGAAAGTGAGTTGTCTTCCAAAGCTGGTGGCTATAACAAATTTACAGAGCCACTATGCGTCCCTCATTTCCTGTCCGTACGTGAAGCCTACCTCATCCCCAAAAATCTTGTCAACGATTTGAGAGAGAGAAGGAAGGAGTTTTACCTATCCCAAATAAAACATGACTGAGATGGAAAGAAGGTTTTTACCTTACCAATTGAATTTTTTTTTTTTGACAATATTACTTTGATTTATTAATTAATCACGGAATACATCTCAATAGATGATTATATCAGAAATCACAAAAGACTACAGTCGTGGTCCTCGCTTCTCTAAATCATCTGCAATGTTGTTTGCCTCTCTATACACATCTTGAAATGATATATGTAAAGTTGTACACATATTCATAACGTTCCTTCATTTTCTTCTCAATCATCATGGTGGTCTTGATACCTTATTACACCAATTAATCACATTAAGAGAATCACCTTCAAAGATTCATGGCAATAAAAAATTCTTCTGAATCATCAGCTGCAATCCTCTTTCTTGAGCCTCCATCTCCACTTCATTCACCATACCCATTCCACACGGTCCAGCATAGCAAAAGATCAACTCCCCATCCGAAGTCCTCAAAATTCCACCAAAGCCCGAAAGCATTGGGTTGCCTAGATAACTTCCATAAAAATTTAATTTCACACACTCTATCTCTGGTAGTGATCATCATCCCTTAGGCCTTACCTTAACCATTTTCGGGTTGACCAAATTATGTAGATTAACCTCCATGTCAACTTTTAAAACTCCAAAACCTTCCTAAGTTATGGAAAACCAACTCCATAACGAATCTGTAATATTTATGCTCACTATTTCCGCCTCCAACACTTCGTTCTAAAAAGTCATCTTATTCCGCTCCAACCATATCTCCCAAAGTATAACGCATTTATAATATTTGTGCTCACTATTTCCACCTCCAACCCTTCGTTCTAAAAAGTCATCCTATTCCGCTCCAACCGGATCTCCAAAGTATTGCGTGCCATCTCCCAAATCACTTCCCTACTTTAGGTAATTATTATTATTTGTTTTTTACATGTTGTTGGTGGGACGGAGGGGTGGGTAAAAAGTATGTGGAAAGAAGAATTGAGTAGACAGAGCTTTTACCTTGACCAAATAAAACGATGAGTGCATATATCATGCTCCGTGGGAGCATAATGTGTATTTACTCCTTGGGTAGAGACTAACTTAAAAATATCTTTTTTTAAAAAAAAATTTGAAATATATGAACAACCTAATAATCCCTACATGATTGTATTAAAAAAGAAGAAATTTTTTTTGAGGTTTTATCACTTAGATTTCACCCTAACAAAAATTGGACGGTTCCTATTCAATTTTGAGGCTTTTTTGTTTTTTTGGTTTTTGTTTTTTTTTGTTTTTTTTTTGTTTCCAAGCCCATGGATAATGTAGCTTGGAAATTTTATTCAATTGAGTACATAGGGGCGGCAACGGGTTGAGTACGGGTAGGGTCTGGCTGGACCTGGATCTAAATAGTATTCGGGTCCAAAATTTGGACCTATGCTCGGACCCGTAGGGTCTATCCGTCGGGTCCCGGGTCTAGTCAAATCCATAGCTACCCTATAACTATAAGCTTATTTTTATTGTTTTTGCCTGTTTTTTTTACCATCATATACCCTATGACTATGAGCATCTTTTTTCTTGGCTAATAATACTGTAAAATATTGTGACAATATGAACACCTACCATGCGCCTTAAGACAAATGATTGCCATCATAGACCTTATGGCTACCGGTACGGGTCGGGTCCAGCTGGACCCAGACCGCACCTGACCAGAATAGTTTTTTAGATTCAAATTTTGGACCCAAACGCAAACCCAACCTGTTGGATCTCTGGTTTGGTTGGGTCCATTGCCACCTTATGAGTACGGCGTATGTGTTGGGAAGCTTACATCCCCAAAAATTGGGTCTTAAAATTACTCTTAGATTGGGTTTTGCCTGAGGAGTAAATGGACAATATGCTCCCTCAGGAGCATAAAATCATTTAGCAAATGAATTACATGAGAGAGTATGCGTGTCTCTGCATGTGTTTACCTTACCCAATAAAACTTCTTGGCTTTAGTCTCTGACATTTTGTGTGGCAGAGAAACGATTATGGTGTGCGTGTACTAGAGAAAGAGAAAATCTTTAGCATTCTGAAAAAAAAAATTAGGAAAAAATCTTTAGGAGGAAGATGTCAAACAATAAGCGAGTTCTTTATTTATTGAGTGTTCTCCCTATAAATGTTAAGGACTCTACATTATTGAGAACGTGATGAGAGTTAGCCTTTCCATTCGATTTTCTGTTTTTTTTATGGATATCATATGGAAACTGACTTTTTGTATTATTGATATTGTACACAGGTTACGTAGAACAGAGGGTTGACTGTTTGGTCATGCGTAAGAGTGGCAACGGGCCGGGCCTCTGACGGGTCAGTCGAGTCTTAGCCCTGGGCCAAGTGATGCAGATTAAGACTGGGTTGGGTTGGTTCAAATTTTTATTTTTATAATTTTTATTTTCTAAGTTATAGGTGGATTTTTAGGTTAATTTTTAGAAAATTTATTTAGGAAAATTTTTTTTGGTTGTAGGGTACCGTTTTTAGTTTTTTTGGAAATTCATTCTCGATTATTTTTTATTTTTAGAAAGAACCTATCTTTTAAGGTTGAACGTCATCTTTAGGTTTAGAGGAAGTTTAGAGTTGTGATAAGAGTCGGTTTAAACATGTGAAATAGGGCTATTTGGTTCATGCGTAAATATTCCCTGAGAAATATTTACATATGTAAATTGTGTTTCACAAGTTTGATTCGTTTAAATCCATATGTAAATAAAATATAAAAACTTTGACTACGAAAGGGCCAAATACATACCTACTGACGAGTACAACTGTGGCAAGGCACCAATGGCTCTCATCTCTCTCGCACAAGAGTATTAAATCATTTTTTATGTCCTGATTTACATTTTTTTTGTATCATTCCTTTATGAACCCTAATGCATGAAACTTTGAAGCCCTAATTTTCAGAGACCTAATGTATCATTCAATAAAGGTTTTTTTTTTATTAAATTTCATCCCAATTCCTTCATTGTCTCCCAAAATTTCTTTCATAATTTTTGAATCCCCAATTTACAACATTGTTTCATCAATCCTAATTTTTGAAACCCCAATTTACAACATTGTTTATATAATAGTAATGATTATAGTTCTCCAGAGTCCATTGGACTGTAGTCTCCCTTGTATCGATGTTAATTCATTGTTTTTTTCCTCAAAAAAGAAGAAGAAAAATTGATTATTTCGTAAAATGACAGTTCAAAGCTCTATAAATAAAATTTGGTGACCTGCTCATACCATCTGTTGTGAATTTCACAAGGAAATAATATTTTTCTTTGTATTGGATAAGAAATGAAAGGAAAACTTCAATCTTCTTTTTGAAATGTTAATGGTGTTGTATTGAGTGGACAAAAAAAAACTTCAGTCTTCTATTCTCAATGTGTTTGATCAGATGCAATTACATGGTCAATGTGGACTTAAAAAATATGCATCACATTTCAAGTTGATTGTCAAGTGCTTGCCAAGTTACTCGCCATTAGTCAAGGGCTTCCCAAGTTACTCCCCATTAAGTTACTCGCCACTAAGTTACTCGCCATTATTTTTTTCCTAATTCACAGCCCTATTATATGTAGCATTGTGTTATATTTCTCATGGAATAATCATTTATGAGTTCTGTTTTTCATCATCTCGTTTCTGTTTTTTTTTTTTTTTTGGGTAATTTAGTGAGAAAGACGGGTGTTAATTGGAAGGTGTCAACGGTAAGCATGGATACTATTCCAAAAAAAAAAAAAAAAGTCATAGGACTTATATGTAGATGTGCATCCCCTCTATATGATTCATTTTTTAAATGGATTTTAGACTAAACTTTCTATACATATGGAATATCTAATATAACAATCATTAATATCTAAAAGAATAAAAATTTTAAACTCAAAATAATAATTTTTTGAAGAAAATTTTAAACGCATGAAACAATTTCCCCTTAATAAATCTATTTTTGAGATGGATTTAATTTTTAAAGATATATAATATCTAATATGGAGATCATAAATATGAATAAATAAATAAATTTTAGAAACTAGAAATAATAATTCTATTAAAAAAACTTTTGAACCATTAATTTCAATTGTTTTTAGATTATAAATCGCATATATAGAAATACGGTCCTGCCCGCATGAAACAATTTCCCTTTCCTGCATGTTACGCTGTAGTTTGCATCTTACTCTGTAGTTTGAGTGTGCCCAGTGTTCCCGCCGTCTTGTCCATTGCAGGAGTCACAGAAGTTCTCTGTCTTTGTGCCCCCCTACAACTGCGACGTTTGTGTTGAGATGGAGTATGTGAGTCCAGAAGGTCTTCGTTTAGACGGCCGGCGTCCATTGGAGGTATTGTATTGAAACCCTAATTCTCTTTTCTCTGTGATATTTTATTTCTTAAATCATCGTTTTGCTGTTTTATTTTCCTGAAAAGTTCATCTTCTCTTATCATGCCATGCTTCTTGTGCAATGTTCCATTTTCAGATGAGGCAGATAAATGCTGAGATAGGCGTGGTGGTTAAAGCTGATGGGTATGTGTATTTATTGGGATTTTTTATTTTTTATTTTATCTAGGGAATTGATTCTAATTATAGTTCATTTTTCCAGTTTATTTTTTATGAAAACTGGTAACATTATATTTTGGATGAAGGTTTTATTCTTCATTTTGAACTGGTTGTTGTTATGGTGAACCAATTGATTGATTCTTGCTTCCTCTAAACATTTCAGGTAAAATTTGCGGAATGGAATATAAAAAATGATCTAATTGTTGGATATTGTTCTGTTCTCATTGTGCTTGGTTACCTTTTTTTTGTGTTTTTATACTTGATTTCTGCATATCAAGTGTGTCCAATATGCTCGCACACTGGAATTGGTGGTATTGTTTATACTGTGGTTATAATGATAGGCTCATGGTTCTGATATCATCGTTCTTTGTGTTCTGTCGAGTATCTTGGGTCATCTTTACTTCTTTGAAGAATGTATGAGTGAACTTAGCATTGCATTGCTTTCTCAAGCATAATTATAATTGCAGCTCTGCAGTTTTTGAGATGGGCAATACCAAAGTCATAGCTGCTGTATATGGGCCAAGAGAGGTACATGTTCTATTCACTCTCTCTAGCCTTTTGGAAATTTTTTCAAATACATGTTGGTTTCACTGATGTTAGCTTTATTAGTGAGCTGTTGGTCTTTAATATTTGTGTGACACTGCATTTCCTCACGCCAAGTATTGTTTTTTATGCATTTTATGTTTTTTTTAATTAATATATTATCATCATCATTTGAGCCTTATCTCAACTATTTAAGGTAGGCTACATAAATCATGTTTTGCCATTATGTTCTATCAATGGCTATATCCTTAGTCAGTCTATAAATTACCATATCTCTTCACACTACTTCCATTCATGTCCTTTTGGGCCATATGCTTGCCTTATTAGAGCCTTCCGCTCAAATCAAATTGTCCCTCCTAACCAGTGCTCTATTAGGCCTACGCTGCACATAGCCAACCCACCTAAGTTTACTTTCTCTCATTTTATCGCCTATTGGAGCCACCCTTAAATTTCCTCAAATGTATTCAATCCAAATTCTATCATTTCTTGTTTTTCCACTCGTCCATCTCAATGTCCTCATCTCAAGTATGCTCATCCTATTGATATGTCTTTTCTTGATCGTCCAACATTCCGTCATATAAAGCATGGCTGGCCTTGCAGCTATCCTATAGATTTTATTGGTATGCAGTAATCACATAAAACACCAGACGCACATCTCCACTTTACCAACCCAACTCCAATTCTATGCGCGATACCTTCCCCAATCCCGCCATTCTCCTAGATTTTCGACCCAAGATATAGAAAATAATCTCTTTTAGGTATTTCTCGTCCATTAATCTTCACAAATTTCTTGTTTCTATTCTTATTATTACTAATCTTGCATTCGATGTATTTTTTCTTTGTTCGGCTGATTTTAAAACCTTTAGATTCCATGAAAGGAGTGGCTATGTAGAACTCAAGGTATTAAATTAAAAAAATTTATTTTTCTTTTATTCAGGATACCTGAATTCTACTAACATGGGCCACTAATTACTACTGTAAATTAAAATTAGTACATTGAATACAATTTAAGATCTTTACTTTCACTGCCAAAACAAATAGAAACTATCCCGGAGCTTTATACAAACGTCCACTATATTTTCAGTATAATATATGTTCCTAAAAATTCACAGAAAAATATTGCTGAAAAATTAAATAAAGCAACTGGAAAGACTTAACACGATCAAACAACCTTCCTAGTTGGTCCCTTGTCCGTGCGAGGTCCATTTTGTGGAGGTACCGAGTAATTATTTGTGTTTAGCTGAATAGGTGGCTAGACTCCTTTCTAGAAAATAATTGCTCTTCAAAAGAAGCAATAAAGATTTGAAAAAGATTCCTTGAATCCAAGTAGGATTGGGAAAGATGGAATCCTATAAAGCAGTCTGGAAATTCAGGTGTGATTTCGACCTTTAAATCATGATGTCTTGTCCTTTGGATGATGACTGAGATTTAAAGGCCTTTCTTACCCCATAGATTTCTTGTTAAAGGCACAAGTCTAAAGTCAACTCAAACTCTATCTCAATAAAAGCCTATATAAAGTGCTGCCCAAACTCTCCCATAAGACACATGGTTTTTGTGTTCAAAAGGACCGGGACATTCAGGTAGGGAGAAGTCTGCTCTCCATGGCGGCAGAAGATGGTTCTTCAATCAGCAAGCATGTCAAAGGTTCTAGGATGTCATGTCCAAACAAGTTTCTTCATGGCAAATGTGTATAAAGGCATTTGTGCAATGAGCATGGACATGGAGGAAAAATTATCAGAGTAGGCACATGCAGAAGGTTTTAGTTGCAGCAGAGAAGCAAGTATGCTAGGGGCAAAAGGATTGCATGTGAAGGGTGAAGCACAGTTCACCATTCGCTATGGTTGTGGCAAGAATTTGACCCTCAAGGGGCGTGTTGAAGGCATCACAATATGGCAATTCTAAGGCAATGGCAAAGTTAAGAGAAGATGGTTCTCAGTTGCAGCAGAGAACAACAAGAAGATGGAGCAAAAGTTCCATTGAAGTCAGCATGGCACAAAGGGGAAAAGGTGGTTTCAATGGGCCTGCACTTGACACACCAAGAGGGTTTTCTTAAGGCATTCATGGCTAAGGTAACTTGATCTCTATTATATCCCTGATCTGAGAAAGCACAGAAGGCTTCTAAGAGGTCCTTCCACATGCAAGAAAGAAGAAAAGGTTCCCCTATGTTGTTGCAAAATAGAGGTAGAGAAAGGCATTTTCTACAGGCTGTTCAAGACATGAGAGAAGAGAAAAAGTTTCTTTATGGGCTTCTGCATGTGTGTGGTTAAGACAAGGCGTCCTCTATGAATCAATGATCAGCGAAAGATGATCTTCAAGGGCTTCTGCAAGTGAGAAGAATATAAGATATTTGCTACAGGTTCACAAGTGAAAGAAGACTGATTTCTTCATTCGCTGCATGGGCATGAGGTAAAGAAACTCCAGAGAGGAAGAGAAACACTGTGGGCAGAAGACTTTTGCTGTGGTGGTCCGCCATTGATTCATGGAGATCTGGTGTAGGGTGAACCAAGTCTTGAGAGTAACTTTGGGCAACTCTCATAGTTATATTTTCTCTATAGTTGTCTTTTGATTTTGTGTTTTCTTGAGAATGTTGCAGCAACCAGTCTTAGTTTCGTTTTCGTGAGAATGTGGAAGAAACCAGATCTTGGGTTATTCTTTTTATTTTGTTTTGTTTTTCTTGATGTTATGGATATGTCTGTAAGTGTTTGGCAGCACATGTAGAGTGGGCTAGCTGGTACAAGCAATAGGCGTTGTTCTGAAATTTCTTGAAACTTTATACTTGGCACGCACTATTATACCTGATCACATCTATATCAATGTATGTATGTGCATGTGTCCTTTATTTCTTTAAAATTATTTTGCAGGTAGATATTCTCTTGATAATTTTTCTGTTGTCAAGATCACTATCATTTTTGTTTTGTGCTTGCTAACTTCAGTTATAATTTGACTGAACGAACACAATACCTTAACCATTGTTTTGTACACAGGGAGAAAATCTTGAAGGTCATTCCTTGTATCTGATAATGTATTGTATTTTGATAATAGTCAACATACGCTTCTTCTTTGAGTGTCATGTAATTGCTTGTCCTGTTTGGAAACTGAAATCATAGAAAGGCATAGAGGGTGTGCTACATGACATGTGAAGTTCCTTTTCTGTTTCTCTAGAGAATATTCTAACTGCTGTTTTGCCTGGTTCTTTATGAAGTCAGCATATAGACGAGGTTATAATTTAACTAGTTTCTGTTATCAGGTCCAGAACAGGAGCCAACAGCTTAGTGACCAAGCACTGGTAATGTCCTTTCCATCATCAGCGCAATCGCTGCTGCAAATATATAATGTTGGAAAAGTGTACAATAAGAATGTGTATCTTTAGTACAAGAAGGTCATATTTACTCTAGACATCAGATGTGAAATTGTGTGGCAAGGGGTGTGCTATTCAAAACGCTCAAAGTTCGAAAAACATTTCTCGAAGTTTGTGTGGAGAAAGGACACATCCCTAACTTCACAATTTTACTTTGATGGATAGGGTTGACTGCGACGTCTTGTAACAAAGGCAAATGGTCTCATAGTATTCAATCCTTATAATGTTGATCTGATTTTCCTATGGTAGTCACATCTATATCCAGGTAAGATGTGAGTATAGCATGGCCAATTTCAGCACTGGAGATCGCTTGAGAAGACCAAAAGGAGACAGGTTTGGATCCTTTGCTCTTCATTGCCACAAAACTGTATTATATGTTGTGCACAATTGTTAATTGTCTGTGTGTGTTCTATGTATGTGTGTGTGTGTGTGCCTGTATGTAATTAATCTGATATGATATAATAGATTTAAATATAATCTGCGTGATATATTATTAATTGTAACTTTATTATGTGTCATTTGGTATTATACTACATAACAATGGCATAAGGTATTGTCATATTAGAACTTCAGTGAGCCATCAGGGTCTTTTGATGGATTGAAATGTATTCTCAGTTTATCAAGCTTGGGATTTGTGTTTCAAGATCACTCATAGAACGTGTCGTCTTCCTATTTGGAGGAAGGAAATTGTGGAATTGACTGCTTTAAAGGCTAGGGTTCTGATATAGGAAACTTGAAGAACAGAAAATCAGCAATATGTGGCCAACACAAGCAATCTCTTGGGGAAATCTGAGGGTTTCCCTACACAAAACCTGAACCAGGGCTCTCTAAAGAACAAAGCTTCTCGTTCTATATCAAAAAAATCACTTGAATATCCTGACACCCTCTTCCAATCCCTATTTATAGTAAAGACATCACTTAGATCCCAAGAAGTCTTATCTCTAATTAGAATAGAAGTCTTAATTAAAAAGATTAAAAAAAGAAGAAGTTAAGATTCCAAAAGTAGAAGTCTTAATAAAAACAAAATTTGTAATGGCATTTTAACCCCTGATAAAATAAATAATTCCATAAGTACTATAACCACTTCTTTAAATGACTCCTAAAATCCCACAAACCTTAAAATCCTTAAAAACATAAAAACCTTAAAAAGATAACTTAGAAAATTCCAAAAATACATCCCTAAAATTCAATAATAAAGATTAAAAAAAATAGGTATATTTTATCTTACATAATCTCCCCTGGTTGGGGAAATCTCCTCCTCGAGTTTAGAAATGGGCTAAGATGAATTCTTTGCTAAGCCTGTGATCTCCTTCAACTAGAACATTGTAAACATAATACTGGGACTTGTGGGTTATTTGACTAATCAAAACACAATGATTTACGTTGAAATTAGGCCTTTTGTAATCAGTTGATATATTCATAAACACTATTGAGAACACATTGAGAACACGTTGATGAAATGGTCTTTTTATGTCCATGAAAATACACGCTCGATTAAGTCTTACAAACTAGCAGAAATTGCATCAGTTTAGCCATATGAACCTCTCGAAATTTCCTTGGCTCAGCCTTAGAAAACGCCATGGTTGCATCTTCAAGATGAGCACTAAATTTGATGATCGAACCTACAATTTCACCTATTGATTCCCTTTGGAGTCCTCCATCTTTTTCTTCATCAAAGATGTAATCACAAATTCTTATTCATCATAATTGTAGATCGGATCTCCTATAAGATCTTGTTCTTAATCTGAGCATACACTGAACATTGGTTGTGAATCCCAATCTACAACTTGCTAATTTTGAAAACAATTGATGATGAAAATAATGATTCTCTATGGTCGTTCTCCTCAATATCACAACCCAAATTGTACTGACTAGAAGTGAGATTATCTCGCCCTTGGTTGAGTCAAATTATGCTCGTCATAATTAGGAATGTGTACCTTCAAATCGAGAACCTTAAAGTGATGTGCTCCATGTCTAGATCTTCTATCATTTTCCCCTTCACTTGACTCTGCACATGGTGCACGGCAGTACAAAAGGTTGTACTTGACATGTCCTTGGGTTTTAAAGATCACCATCTTGCTTATGAGTAATGCTAGCAAATTGTTGTGCAAGTTGCTGAACTTGCCTCTTAAGATGTTCTATTTCTTCATCTCTGGCATCGCAAGGTGGATCTACGAGAACTCTTCCACAGCCCCTTCTTGCTACAATAGGTTTGCCGAAATCACAGACCCTAGATAGAGAATCAACAAAACCTAGCTGAAATTAGTAAGATCTGGGCTGAATTTGGCATATCCTGTGCTGAAATCAATGAAATTTTTGTTAAGATCAGCAAACCTTGGCCCAAAATCAGCAAACCCTAGACTCCGTTGTAGTTCTTTGGCCTTTTTGTACAAGAAACCTGGCTCTAGTACTTGGTTGTAGGGTTCTCCTGTCCAAAACCTTAACCGGGTCTCACCAAATTACAAAAGTTCTCTTTCTTTCTCTAATAATCATGTGAATCTCTGTACGACCCTTTTATACTCCCTATTTAAATAAAAACCTTACTCAAACCCCAAGAAATCTAAACTCTAGTTAAATAGAAGTCCTAATTAAAATAACTTTTTAATGACAATTTTAGCCCTTATAAATTAAATAATTCCATAATTGCTGTAACTACTTTTTCAAACAACTTCTAAAATCCTAAATATACACATATATAAAACCTAAAATCCCTAAAAAACTTAAAAACCGTAAAAAGATAACCCTAGAATTTCCAGAAATACATTCCTAAATTTAATAAGAACAATTCAAAATGAGAGGCATATTGTCTTGCATTAGTTTCCTTTCAAGGGTTGATATTGTCTAAGCTGTTTGAAAATTTGACTTCATGCTCAGTACTTCGGGTAATGAGTTGAATGCTATGAGGAGTGTTACAAGCGGATCCTTGTTCCATAGACATTTATGGGGTTTCTTCAGGACTGCTAGGTGCAGGCTGCTGTCTTGCTCCTGTATCTACCTGATGTTAATATATTTATATAGGTAGCTGATGGATAGCCAATCTAGGTGCTTCTTGTTCTAGATTGCGTATACAATTTAATTGATGCTTGCCTTTCCTTCATCACTTTCTTAAAGTCTTATATCTCTCAATATACGCACAAGTGCATATCCTCACACACGTACCGTGTTTGTGTTTATAAGTTTCATGACATTAATAATTTAGAACTTCATGGATTATTGGGGTGGATTATTAGGGATGATGCTGGGGCCTAAGATGTAAGATATTTCAATGCAGGATCACCGGCAAAGGTTGTGTTTGGGTGACCACTTTTTCTTAAGTAAATATTCTTTTTGAGTGCTTTTAGTAAAAAAACTAAGGCAATAGCCGTTTTTCTCTTAGTGACTTTGGTAGCAAACTGCAGCACTTTTCAAGTGATTGGGGTTTAGAAATAGTGCTTACGTATTAGTAGGCTGGAGCAGACCAAATGTCTCACAGGAGTGTTAGTTGACTAGTTTATTAGAAAATAGACAAAGGATTGTACTTGTTAGGATTTGTACATAGTAGCCTCTCAACCTCGCAATTGAATGTGACCCGTATAAAGGGGAAATATGGTAAGTTGTTCCTATGTCGCTTAATTGGTTGAACAAGTAGGAAAAATCAGAAAACCTGCTAAGATAGGTTCTTTCTCTCGTTTAAATTATGCAACCCTTCTTTGGGTTTAGTAAACAATTTTTTCTCTCTCATGGGTGAGTGAGAGAGTATGATTTGTGGAGAAATATGAATAATAAAACTAAAGAGGAGCAAGATAAGTTTAAGATTTGCAGAACCTTTTAAAGATGCCCTAAAAGAAAATGGAGAAATCTGGAAGTTAGGGTTTGCAAAGATTAGCTAGAGAAGGGAAATCAATTGTAGAGAGAGGAAAGAAGAGAGAGGTGTATGGAGTTTGTTGAGAAGAGAGAGAGAGAACTGAAGTCTGCATGAAGAAAAAAGAGGAAGGAGAATGGGTTGTGAGTTGAAGATAGAGAAGAAA